CTTTGATTTTAAAGCTATAATTTGAAACTTTACCTTCCAGTGGTTCCAAACAGGCACATGTGGTCATTGAATGTCATCTTAACAATGTGCATTCCAACATCAATGTTGAAGTCTTGCTAGAATAACATGGCCTAAATGGTAAACATGTATCAGAAATAGGAATAAAATATATAATATATTAACAAATACACTGTACCATGCTTTATGGGGGGGGGGGGGGGGGGCACAAGTAATACCCAGTTTGAAAAATAATAACAAAACAAGTGACAAAAATATGTCGCCATAAATTGAAGGTTTTTACAATGCTTGGATCTGAAGGTCTCTGGTATGTCAGTCTGATTCTTTTTAAAAGAGAGCTACTGTTAAGCTTCTAGATTTTATTAACTTGTACTTTTGCTTTTCACAGGAAAAAAAAATATCTTAATATTAGGGAAGTATTAATTTGTACAGAAAACCTTTAAATAAACACCATATATCAAAAAACATAGCATTTTTACCTTAGAATCTAGGAAGAAAAAGAACCTTCTAGGTTCAAATTTTTATTTAATGCCATATTATCCCACCTACAATGCTCACTTGATCAATATACAGACTTTTTCAGACTCAACACAACAGCTGATTTCTTGCCATCAGTAGACACTACACAGCCAGCCTTCACTGAAGTTTTCATCCTATTTCAATTTCTGTCCATTTAAACAGTATATTATACACCACAGGAGGTGAATTAATGTATGTTTCACATTCCAACACAGCATGTTGTATATTTCTGCACAGTACAGCATTTTTGGTACTCTTGTATGGACTTTGAGCAAATATTTTAATTAGGAAAAGATAAACGACACAGGAAAAAAATTAACACGAGTTTGAGGTAATTTTATGACTTTATAATAATTTTTTTTCCAGTGCTTGGACTTGAATAACAAACCTGAACATATGTAGATCGAACTGAAAACAATCATGACTTTTCCTTTGTCTCTGCAGATTTTCTGTTGTTTGTTATGGAATATTTATTATTATTTTGTTGTTTTGATATTTTCTTGATAATAAATGAAATACACACTACAATGTCTCTGTTATCAAAAACCAATGACAAGAAAGAGGAGTTTTAAAGTTCTTTTGGTTCCAAGATTGATGGATTCATGGAATCCCCTATCTCCTCATTCAAAAGATACCGCCAATGTCAAAATTCGTAAAAAGCAAGTCAAACTTCACAGGGTCAAAAGTCATTGTACAAAAAAAAGATTTTGTCAGGGGGCATTGCAAAGGTCAGATATAGATTCTAATCTTCTCCCACTCAAAAGCTAAAATTTTTTTTAAAGTAATTGAAACTTCAAGGTCAATGGGTATTAAATACTGTATACAGGGAAAATTTACATTTTATTTTCGCCCCTTTCGCTCTATCTTCCTTTGGGCAAATTTAAAACGGGGAGAATTCAAAGATCTTAAACAAAACTACGACTGGGCGAATTTAAAACTGGACAAAATTGTTTTCAAGTGTGAAAGGGCGAAAATACGGGGTGAAAATAACCCTGCATACAGTAAATCGTAATACATTTGAAAAGAAATCTTAAGGTATTAAAGCACAGTGTACAAGTGAATCTCACAAGTTATGATGCAGGTTAAAAATTTTGTGACAGACGGTCAGAAAATAGAGAGATTCACAGCCCCCCTCTCTTTGAAAAAGCAAGGGCAAATAAATAAATAAAAAGAAAATTTCAAATATAAAAAACTGATATTTATTCAGGTCCAATAAGCCCTATAACACCCCCAACCAAATGCAGACTTCCAGTCACTAAAATCTGAATATGATCTGCATTCTTCACTTTGGAGGGGAATTCTATGAGAGCCTGAGATGAAATAGTTGGTTCTTTTCCCTGAGTTGCCCAATTTAATGCTGAGGAAATACAAGGAAAATCCTTGGTGATAACACAGTCTTCAATATCACAGACGGTTTGGGAGTTATCTCCCTTGTTTTCAATGTTTTCAGTGTCTAATTTTGGTCTTTTTACATCACATCTTTCTTCTCTCTGCGTTGTTTCTTTTTCGTACATTTGTTGCTGTAGTCTCTTCACTGCCAGTCTTTCAAACAACAGCATGTTGGCAAGCACACGGTTCAGCTGACTTTCCTTTGTGACAGTGAAATTTGTGGCATCTGGAAAGAGAGAAAAAAAGTGAAAAGTTTATCCCTCCTCTGTAAGTAAGAAATTAGTGTACAAAGTGGATTACCCAAAAAAAATAGAGAAAACCACACCATGCATGTTAGAAATAGGTCAGGGGATAAAGAAAAGTGCTAATGATAAAGGAATGTAATATAAGTTGATGGTATTTCTGTGTATAATTAAATGCCATGCATCAATCGTCCGCTTACCTGTTTTAGTGGAGCGTGCTACAGAAAGCAAAATACACCAAATTCAGAAAGCAGTCAAGATTACAAGCAAACAAACAAAAAATTATTAAAAAGCAAAAATAAAGAATTAAGTTGCTATAAATGATAAGTTGCAATGGTAAAAAAAAAAGATAAACACACAAAAAAATGTTCAAATGTCAACCTCTGACAAATTTGTATTAGAAACAAAAAATCAAGGATTGAGCAGATCGATGCAAAAAGGCAATAAAAAGTCAAACCAACCTACTGCAACACATGAATATTCTGAGCATGACACTGACATTAAACTACCATCTCACATTAAACTGCTTGCTTTGTATTAGTGTGTTAGTATATTATTCAAAAAAGTTCAAGCAAACAGTTGTTAGAACCAGTTACAAGTTCAGTCTTAACTAAACTTACCAACAGTATTGAGAGAAGAGAAGGTAATATTTGGACAGAATACTGCTGCATCAAAACCACAATTCTGTAAAAGCAACAAAAAAAAGTACTGAATGGTAAATAGCAACATAAAAGTTTACATGTGTTCAATTAGATGCATGTAAAGCTAGTTCAAACTCATCTGTCAATGACATAAGACAACAGTATGATACTGGTTGTAACAAAATGAGGTTCCTGCTTACCACCAAAGGTTCAATAAGTACACTGGCCTCTCTATCTCCTGTCGAATTAAATACAAGGACCTGGATTACTTTACCACTGAAAAATTAAAACATTTTTTTTTACACAATTTCAAAGATTAAAGTCAAAACTGATAGTAAAAGTCAATTTGTTTTATTTTTTAACAAGCTGAGATGCTTCAAATAAATTAAGGTTCTTAGACCTTCTGCTAAGAAAGATAACTCTCTCTCTCACTGGAATGATTTTTTCCTTGACAAAATTGTTGTTAAATGTGATTTTTGACAAATTTTAACTCACAAGGTATGTCAATTATTTTTATTTTATCCATATTAATTATACACAAGGCTTCTTTTGAAAAGAGAGAAGATGAAACTAGATCTAAGTAGGCCTAGTCATTTAAAAGAAAATTACACGTTACCTCAGTGTTTTTGATTCCTCTGCTGAAGCAGACTTGAACCACTCAATACATTGCTGTAACAAAATAAAAGCAATGCAATTCACTAAAAATGAGCAAACAAACTACAATACTCCCAATCATTTAATCTTAAATGACAGATTCTATCAAAAGTGTTTAAATTAATATTGTATTTATATTTGGATTTGTACCTGAACACTTTCTAATGTGTGAGCACCATCCAGATAATATGTGATTCCTGGTTTCTTTATTCTCTGGTTCCTGCCATCCCATCTACACTGCTTTAGTCCTGTAATATATAGCATGAAACATAGGCTTTCATAATTTATTCATTTTCCCTTTTTATAACAAGACATGTTACACCTTTTCAACTGTTTCACTTATTACTTCTTAGGAATTTGCCAATTTGTCCTTTTTTTGTAACAAAAACATGCACATTTACATGTAGAATCTTGCTAACATCCTACCCAACATACCAGCATCATAATATTCTAAATTTAATAGACCAAACCAAACCTTCAGTCACTGATGAAGGAAGCCTCGTGTCCCCTGTATTCCACTGTGTTGTCTGTCTGTCTCCATCATCCTCTGTGGATTTCTGCCGCTTCGCTCTGTTGGCTATCCACAATTTACACAATTCAATGGCTATTGCTGCGTTTTGTCTCTGCATGTGTCCAGCTATCCCAAGACTGAGGGGTTGTCCACTGGACTCAAAAGTGGACAAAGGAGGGGCAACACTCAATGGACACTGTAGCAATGATAAAATTGAATCTTCTTGAAGCGATGACTTAAAAAGAATTACTTTTGAACATGTCAAAAAAGAGATGTAACAGATTGGTAAGGAGTTTAGGTACATAATATCTGTTTAACACATGCATATGACCTTTTCTGCATGAAATGGATAAAGTCATATAAAGCTTATTTGTATATAGACAGTGTAAAATGTGTTAGTCATGTATAGCACAATGAAAAGAATCCTGAATGGTTTTTGGAAGGATATGACATGTATCTTAACTAACTCATTGTATTTTCTATCCCCTCACCAAGGCTCAGGGATAGAAAACACACAAGTTATTGGATAAAAATCATACCATACCAAATAACATAACAAATTGTACATTAATCTTCAGATCTGTAACCATTTTGTATGCAGGTTTCTATTACTGATGGGGGAGGGGGAGGTCGGAAATATACATTTATAATTGTACCCCAATTTCTTTGGCCCGCTCTTTGATGACATTTAAGGCAACATCAGGCTGGGGTGAGGTGACTGCTGGTACATTTGGCTGAAATAACAAAGGCAAACATATTAAAACTCAGTAAACACCTCTCAAAATATCATGTATATGACATTCATAGTAAAGTTGTGAGGAAAATACTGAATATAGATTAAAGCGAGTCAAAACATTTTTAAGTATATGTACCTTGAATATTCCAGCTTTGTGCCAGGCAATTTTATCCACAGTGTCGCCCAGTATAGAAGTATGATCAAGACCAAGGGACGTAACTCCGCAGGCGACTGGTTTCCTGACTAAGTTAGTGCTATCATACTGCCCTCCAATCCCCACCTCCAAGATGGCCACATCTACTTTCTCTTTCAAGAACACATGTAGGGACATCACGGTCAAAAAAGAGAAGTAAGTGGGCATGGATCCATCAAATGATTCCTGATTTGGGGAAAAAACAAATATCATTTTTCACATTGATGTTATTTATTTTTCTTAAATTAATTTGGTTTGCGGTTCCCTTAATTGTTTGAAGTATTTGAAAAACTTGATTAGAAGATGTTCTTTAGCAAGAACTACAGCAATCTAATTAAAACTAGATCTTCCATCTGGACCTCTATTTTTTAATGTCTCAAGGTATAAAAATCAGGGACGAAGATCCCTGATTGGAAGATGGAAGATCCAATTTTAACTAGAACTGTCCAATAGGGACAAATACCCCCGCTGGGTTTTTCAGAGTAGGTGCCAATTCAGAAATATTTTATGGATCTAGTAAGAGGTGTTCACTATTTTAATGCCCCGCCACAGCATGATACGCCCATCAAATATTGTTCGATAATCATAAATTGGTTAGGGTACATAACCTTGATTAACAGATTGAACAGATTTCAATGATCTAATTTCCATTTCTTATCTTGTTGAAAATATTGTACATGTATACATCACTAAGAGACTTACAGTGTAGGGATTAAATATAACAAATAATACATCATATAATTCTAAACTGTGTTAGAGCTTAACAAATATCCATCTGCAGCTTTAAATTGTTTATTGCATATTTTATGAAATAATGGAAATGCTACAGTCTAATAAAAAAAATCAAAAATTAATTATTCTTTAGACTATAAAATTCTAAGTGAGACATGACTGCATTTTGTTGCAAATATATAAAAATTGAAATGTAATTTTTTTTCAATGAACACATGTATAATTAATTATATTATACAATACTAATTCAGTTTTAATCATACACTAAAACATCAATTTGTTTTAATTACATTACACCAATTGAAAGATCTTTATCTGAACTACAGCCATCAAGAACTCTTAATTAACACAAGCAACTATAAGGCCATTTCTCTTTGCCCAACTCCCAAGAGACGAATTAAGATAATACTGCATGATGCTCTTGCCAGTTAACTCCCGACAATGAACTCATTAATTTCTCTCTAATTTGACATGCACATTTCTGCTATCAAAAATTCTCCTTGACCAGTGCTTGAAAATTATGCCCATGGGACAAACTGAATTCCTCTCAAATCATTAACATTTGTTACAGAATTTGCTGTAAAGTATATGATAAAAAATAAGTTTTTACTTAATTTAGGATTTTTTAATAAGGATACAACTATATTTTTACATTTTTTAGGATTATGAAATTTAAAATTTTAAAGACTTAGTTTTTTTTTAAAAATCACTTAAATTAAAGGTCACAGTGACCTTGAAATAGGTCGGGACACACCGTCTACCCAAGATGCATAAATTGTCCAAGTTTGATGATTGTAAGTCTAAAAGTTTTCTAGTTATGAGCCAAACAAAATCACAAAATAAAAAAGAAAAAATGCCTGTAAAATGCAGAAAAATCATCCAATCACTATGAAAATCCCAGGTGCACACCTTCATATGAATAATAAGTGTATAAATTTTCAGACAAATCCATCCAACAGTTTCTGAGAAACAGTCCGACAAACTTGTCTACAGACGGACATGGACAGACAGACAGACGGACATGGTGATTCCAATATACCCCCCTAAACTTCGTTTGCGGGGGTATAATTAGACTGGACAATAGGTACATTTGTGGGATCTATGCTCAAGTAATTCAGGATTTTGAATTAACTTGCATGCAACTGAACCTTTGTTTTTTCCAATTTCAGGAACACATCCCAGAAATAATCTGTAAACTTCTCCCTGGTGATTGGAATTCCATTGATTCTGAAACGCTCTCGGACTTCAACCAGATGTGGTGAACTGCAGAAAAAATGAGTCTATAAGTTTTAGACAATGTTTCAATGAGTGACAATGTTTCAATGAGTTTCATTTAAGGGAAGTTTATACTGTTACCAGTGTGAAGATTTACCTGAAGAACCCTGTTTTATAACCCTGGTGTCTCAGTATGCTCTCACAAAAGGCACACGTGGATCCCTTTCCTTTTGTTCCACTTACGTGGATGACAGAGAGTTTATCCACATCATCCAACTAAAATGAAAACACCCATGATGATAATTTACAGTTTCATATGTAGTAAGTCCTGTACATAAAGTGTTAATGTTGTGCAAATTCCGGCTTTCCTCCTTATAATTTTGGAATGAAGCAATTATATGGCTTTTAGCCAAAATACTTTCATTGCAGTTAATTACATATACATGTCTAAGACAGAGAAATCCTACTCTTAGAAAGAAATATGAGACAAATTTGGCTCTGGTATGTGATTTCCCCCTAAGGGGAAATCCTATTCTGAAGTATAGTTTTCCAGAAGGAAAGGGAGGAGGGAAAGGTGGCTATGGGGGAAATTCTTCTCATAACAAGTGTGTAATTTTCATAACATTATTCTCATGATAAGAGACTGAACTTCCTCCTTGCCATACATATATATATGTATTTTTGTTCACTTTCAGTAAAATGTGTTGTTAAAATTCTGTTCAAACCAGATCATACGCTGAACCCTATAAACTTAATGTGATAATACCGACTTGTTCAGCAAACTTGATCATACTCTGAACACTCTGAACTTACTGTGATACCAACTCGTTCGGCAAACTTGATCACATTGGGGATGTTGAGTTCGGCCTTTTTGCCCCCTTGCTGCCGTATTTTCTCCAGAGTCTGTGCATTGCTCTGAAGTGTGTTTAATGCAGAAACTGCCTCCTGAAATTATAAATCCATGCAATTAAACTAAATGTGAATTCAATTCATTATTTTCTATAAGACATACTGAACTAAGGGAAGGCCATGATAAATATAAAACCAATGCCAGATTTTTAACAAAGATATAAAACCAATTTTTTCAAATCCATTGTTTATATTAGGGATGTCAAATCGGTCAATTTTTAGTATTCGGTTACTCGGACGTTTTTCCGATCGAGTACCCGGGTACTCGGTAAAAAGTGTAAATAAAAATGAACAAATAAATTGCTGACTTAAAACACTGTACAAACTCTTCTAGAAATAAAAACACATGCTTTGATAGGAGGTTTACTCGTAAATGTATTTCTGTTGTAACAATGATAAGCACTTCGTGCCCGACGAAATTTAATATAATGTTTTTTTTTAATATCAGATAAACACAAGAAATAAAATCATTAGTGGTTCACACTGTCTTTGTTTAAAAAAAAATACACGTTTCATAATTGTAACTCTTTGTTGCAGCTATGTACAGTATCAAGTAGAACTTGAACTTGATTTCTCATAACAGAGCGGATCTAAATTTTCGCACACTTTTTCACTGCAATATTTTATAGTATTACCCATCATTTTTAAAGCCTTTTCATTTGTATTGGTGTGTAATCAAACACAACCATATCAACAAAGCACGTGTAATATCATCATATGATATAAAATTTAAACATAAAAGACCTTAAACGATGTTCAGTGAAAACAAGTAATTAAAGCAAATCAAAAATAAGATGATTAACAGGTGATAATTACTATATAAACACTGCCAAAGGCGATAACGGTCATTTAGAGGTGTCGGAAACCCTAATTACTGCATGCACAAGAAAAGTGAGCATTTTACGTTTTAAAACAGATAGTTTAATGCATTAATAATTAAATAATAGCAAATACAATTAACATGATAATTGAGGAGATTTGTATGTATAGTTTATATAGATTATATTATTTAGAGGAAAATCTATTTAGATATTTCCCCCATTTATAAGCCATTTTCAGAGAAGTCGAACTGTTGAACTGTATCATCATATGTTATAAAAATAATAGTGATAAATATTATATACTGATTTGTTTTTTTCTTTCATGCTTATATTTCAACATACATGATAATTGAGATTTATATGTATAATACTCATTGTAATTAGGTCAGGGGTTAAGTCTTAAATAAAATTAATAAAATTAAATACTTAATATTTTCCTATTAGACTATTATGAAGTGAAGATACATGTATATGGTTCAATCACATACATATTTTATAAACATCACTTGTATGCAAAAAATATACCGGGTATATATCATACAAAACACGATTAAGAATTTTAAACTATATCAGGGCTTTATGTGGTTTTTTTAACATATAAAAATGACATTCAAACCTGAAATCCATGAACATGATAAAGAAACGACATTGAGAGAAGTATATATGATCATGCAGCAACCTCTATTCCAATACTAAATACTTGCAAACTGATAAAATTCAGAATAGATCTCCATGCCTCACACTTTGCATGCAGATACATGTATACACATAAGTATTAAATGTATAGTCATATTATTAACCATACTGCAAATAATTGAAGATTAGCGGGTATATATAGTTTTTGTCATGTCAGTCCGTCTGTCTGTCTTTCTGTGTAGCTGTTTGTCCGCAAAAACTTTAACCTTGCCCATAACTTTTGATTTGATGGAGCTATGACTTTTCATATGTGTATTCATTGTGAAAAGACCTTTCTTTGGGACGTTTGGGTACCAGCAAATTTGACCTTGACCTTGGAGCTTGACACACTTTTACACAAAAATTCCAAACTTTAACTTTGGCTTTAACTTTTGATCTACTGACATGATAGAAACTAGAACTTTCATATTTTACACATGTATTCTTTGTAACAAGACTTTCCATTGGATACCAACTTTCACCTTTTGACCTTGACCTTGGAGATTAATGTACTTTTAAAAACTTCAACTTCTGCTATTATAACTTTTGAACAGTAAGGGCTAGGGCTTTCATACTTTCACATATGTAATCCTTGTGACAAGACCTTTCATTGGATTTCAACAACTTTGACCTTGATCTTGAAGTTTGACATTCTTTTTAAAAACAAACCTTGACCATAACTTTTGAAGAGTTAGAGCTAAGGCTGTCAGACTTCACATATTTATTCCTTGTGAGTTGTCCTTGCATTGGACCTTGCATTGGATACCAACAACTTTTCCCCTTTGAACTTGACCTTGAAGTTTGACCTTCTTTTAAAAAACTTAACCTTGACCATAACTTTTGAAAAGTTATAGGGCTAGGGCTATCAGACTTTACATACAGTATAAGTAGAATTTTTAGCAAGGATTTAATTTTGGCATTATTAGCAAGTGTGTCGAGATCGCTAAAATTGAATATCGCTAAAATTAATTGAGTTTTATTTGCAATAGCTTCTTTAATATGCATTTTAAAATCACCAAAATAACATCTTGCTAAAAATAAATTACCAGTTTTTAAAGACAATTTGCTAAATTTGCGTCTCGCTAAAATTTCCACTTATACAGTATTTATTCCTTGTAACAAGACCCTTCATTGAATTCCAACAACTATAACCCTTTGTCCTTGACTTTGGAGTTTGACCTACTTTTTAAAAACTTTAACCTTTGAGTTTGTCTCCCATTTGAGAAATTTAACCATTAAGAGCATTCTTTGGACTTGTTGAGAAAACAATACAGTAATATTGAAAAATAAATGATTAGCTGTTTTAATGACAGTTTTCCAAAATCTTTCATAAAATGTTCCAGCTTAAGACTTAAGATGATCTCTATTGTATACTTTTTAATATCATGTACTTTATATACAAAAAAGGGAAAAAATAAACTATATAAGCCATTTAATTAAGAAAAGCAAAAAAAAGGTGACTTCCATTTACACATAAAAACAGATAAAGTGACCATTTTGGTCAAGGAAAAAAAATAAACTCACTTAAATTTAACAAACTGCAACCATGAGCTTAAAGGCGATATGACAATAGATAAAGTTGCTTTCTAAACTTTGTTAGTAATTCTACTTCAGTTAGTTGGATACAGCGCTCAAGGACAATATTTAAACATGCACTGACACATGGATAAAATATCTAATTTCTACTATATTGCACGTAAAACACACAAATACAGTGGTGCCTTGTTAATCCTGATAACTTCATCATTTGTATGATTTCAATGGACTTTTGAAGTTATTGACAGTTTGTTATCTTATTCCTATTTCATTGCCACTCCTCTGGTAGAATTTATATTCAAATAAACAGAACATGAGAAAATACTGAAAACTTATAAACAAAACAAATTTGTGAACAGGGCATAAAACATAAACCCTGGAAACTTCCAAAGTGGGATTAGATGCTAAGCAGGAGTAAACATCCCCTGACAACCAGTATTTCCTGTCATGAACTCATGTATTGTTCAGGTAAATTAAGTCAAATTAAGGATTTCTGACATAATTTATAAATGCAAATGTGGACAACCTATACACAATTGATAAAAGCCGTAAGTTCATCAACAGATGAGATGAACTTGCATAGCTTACTGGCATAATAAATTTACAACTTTTTTTACAAAACATAAACATAGGTATAAGATTAACAACGATGTGTAAGGCAAAGTCACACAATTAACCAACAAAAAGTATACATTCCAAAAATGAAAATATTTTTAAAAGCAATTTTGATCTGATACTTTGAAATAGACCTACATAAAAAATTTAAACTACTTCTTCTTCATGAAAATGTAATGAAAATCCAGCATCTGAAGCAAATTTGAGAGTTTTCATCTCTTGATGCAGCATTTGTGCAGGTTTGGTTTATACAATGTTATATAAGCCTTATAGTTTTTGGTAATAGACCTGCAATAGTTTTTGGTAATAGACCTGCAACCATAACTTTTACCTACAAAAATGTGTGTCCAGCATATAAATTAGTGTGCATCCTTAGATGTATCAAAAATTTGCTCATTATAGGGCTCATAGTTTATTGGAAATGAAACATGCATCAAAACTAACATTTTCACTCATCCACAAAAAGTAGGTCAGATTCAGCATCTGAAGCAAGCCTGGAAGTATGCATCCTTAGATGTATCATCTATGCAAGATTAATCATTAAAGAACTCATAGTTCCTTGGAAATGAAACCTTCCAAAAGCTTTTAACTATTCATTACCAAAATGGTGCCACATCCGAAGTTTAAGCCTACATCCTTAGATGTATCATCCAAGAAAACTTATAGTTATTTGGAAATGAAACCTGCACCAAAAACTTTAACCTGTTCACTCAACTGGAAAATGTAGGTCAGATTGCAAGACCCGGTAGTTAGATGTATCAGCCATGTTTGGTCAGGGCTTAAAGTTATAAATGAAACCTGCATTTAACCTGTTCAACAAGCAACATAAAAGTTAAAAATTCCTGTTCAAACTGGAAAATGTTCAACACATGAGAAATCAATGTATCATCCATGCAAGTTTGGTCAACAACAAATAAACCCACACCAAAAAATTGCTGTTAACCTGCTCCAAAAACATTCACCTGGTAATTCCTTTGCTGAAATTGCAGCATTTTTGTCTGGTACAATAAAACACACTAAAACCATCTTCCATGCATGTCTTCAGTATAGGACACAGAAGTAATTAAAAAGAAAACTGCTCCAAAAAACTTAACCTTAACCTACGCCGACGCTATCATCTCCAACTTCGTTGAGGTGAGAATTTTTATATTTGAGGGGCGAATGTTTTTATATTTTTTTTATTTTAGTGATATATAACATTTTGAAGATTATATGGTGCCAATACCAATAAATATAATCAGACTTGGAAAATTTATTTAAACTGATAAAGTTAAAAATTCAAGAGTTCAACACTTGAGAAATCAATGTTAGATAAACAAACAACAGCTTTCCATTTCACATTCTGCTAGCATCATTTTTCTGATCTTATCCTAACTTTTTATGGATGATACAAATGTACAATCTATTGAACCAATCTCTTGACTAAAAGAATTTTTTAAAGTTATTTTCTAAAATTATATGAATACCAATAAATTATGAAAATGCATTTTATGAACATGATAAACCACATTGAAAATGGTCTGAATTAAATTTGAAAAGAAAAAAAATAATAAAATACAAGACCCTAAAGTTTGAAGCTATAGAATGTGGAATAATGGAGTGCAAACAATTCACCAACAGGCATGGAATACATACCTGGGCCCTTCTCCACACCTGTAGGTGATTTTAAAAAATCCAGTCATTTCTTATAATTATATTAACTAGCAAGTTATTAAAACCAAGAAGTGATTTCTTCAAATATCTTAGGAATAGCATGAAGGCAATCAAGGCATAGGTAAAGAGAATGTAGCACTGCCAGCATTTCGCCTCTAATGACAATGCCTGAGTGAAAATATTTAGACTTTACACATTAATTCAAATTAATTTTTCCGTAGTTATTCTCATCAACATATTGAAAGAGAAAAGTGTTCCTTTAGGTCTATTAACTCTCTGAAAATACTCTAAAACCTTAATATAATTTTTTTATGTATAATTTACATTTTCACTGATTAGTTGACACCTAAATTGTGAACTGTTACACTTGTGAAAAATAAAAATGAGGCAAAAGAAAATGTGAGATAGCAAAATGTCAATGTATTGATTCCTCCCTCGCAAATTTAGAGATTGAAGACATATATAAGTTGTGACAAACCCTGTGTTTGATCCCCAGAACAGATATTTAAAAAGTTAAGAGCTTTGCATTAAAAAGTTTTCTCACTATTAACATCTTCAATTTAATGTGTTGTTATATAAGAAAACCTATCGTCACTTCACACAACTATAGAAAGTAAAAGATCACATGAAAGAGATTTTCAATTGAAACGTTGTGGTAAATATCGCATAATTTACAAACCTCATATTTCTTGCTGTTTTCAGCTGTTGAGGCTAGAGAACTAAGCGATCGCAAAATTTTTGTTGACATGTTTACATTGTTAGGTTGATCACGCGTTCAGGCCATGAGCAAGTGAAAGAGTGAGGAACGGCAACTCCTTTATATACCATCCGGTCATGTAGAGCTAGGTTGCAAAATTAATACGGAGCCTAAAATCTATTCAATCCGTATAGTCCTTTAGATTTAACACACATTTATTCTAAAACTATATAAATCAAAATAATCTTTGAAATAAAATATAAGGATTATGTAAATTTCACTACACTTTCAACAATTGGGCTACTTTCGTTTTTAATTTTATGGATTTTGAGCTCGATTCATTTCAATTATTAAAAAAAAACATGAAACATTATTTTATATAGGCTTATCCTAAAATCAAATTTTAATCAAATCAAATAAAATTTTAAAACTTTTCAAACATAAAGCTAAAGATTGTAAAGTATGGAATGCCATATACGACAGCCAATTCTTTTCTTACTGCCAACTGTCTGCTACTTACTGCCAACTGCCACACATATTTGAATAAATTCTATATCTAAATTGATATTTATATGAATTTTCAACTGCGCGCGGATCCAGGACATTTTTTTTCCAAGAGGTCACCCTGGTAAAATTAATTTGACTAAATGACCATTATGTTTTATTTTATGTAATATTCAATATACAGTGTAATCTTAAAAGAAGTAACACACCCACCCCCATATTGATACTTTGCCACCCACGGAGACAACAAAACCTGTGAAGAAAGAAAATAAAAAAAAAGATTTGTCTGGATGATTTTTTTTTATATTTTCCTTACATTCGATTTTAAAAATTCTCTTTTAAAGATGTATATCTCTGTGTGTTATAATGTTTCATATGCAAATATCTTGGGGATGGGGTGGGGTGAAAGGTGGGGGGGGGGATTTGTACAGTCATGGATTAATGTGTAAACTGAACGAACTAAAACTGATCTTGGACCCTCCACGTAGAAAACGCCTATCAAACATGTATATATCTCTTTGTTTTTACAAATAAGATATGTTCTACATGCATAGTTCTAGAGAGGGAGAGAGAGGTCCGGACCATCCCTCTGAAATTTGTAAAGTTATTTAGTGCACAAATTAAACCAACTAAAAGTTATACAATGTATAAAATAAATCAAGAAAAGGGACAGACAGAGACACCCTCCATCCCCAAAAATGCGGTTTCGTGTTATTGGTCATAGACATGAAGGTATGACGGACATGCCCCCTCTCCCGGCCAAATAAATTTTCACATTAAGGAAAGGACTTTACGTTTTTTTTTTCTTGTCAAGTTATTTCTGGGTTGTTTTTTTTAACATGTACCTTTGTGTGTTCTAGATCTGTGTTGTTTTTTTTTTGTTGAAAATGCACATAAATATCAATATAAAAATAAAATTTATTCAAATATGTGTGGCAGTTAGCAGTAAGCAGTTGGCAGTAAACAGTCAGCAGTTGGCAGTAAGCAGTTGGCTGTCGTATATGGCATTCCATAGTAAAGCGAGCTTCCTACGAAATTCTTTTCTTCGCTATTTAGATCTACTCACTTTCCCAAGTTTCCTGTCTGTCTTCAACTGTTCAATATTCTCGCTGAACTCTTTTCCACCCCCTTTCCTACGATTCCTCTCTATTCAGTCGTCTTCCTTTTCCTCATTAAAAAAGTTTCTTGTTTAATATCGATACCACGTCCCCTTTTTATGACTGAAAATGTTTACGACTTTGAAACTCACTTTGCGGGAAATTATTGAATTAGGCATGTAACGTTATGAGTTTTACTTTCATTTTCCTTTTATTTTCATTAAAGTACATCATTCCGATAAGTCATATCGCATATGTACTTCTAATGCGGGGAAAAAATAATTAAGGCCGATGTTAGTATGCTTTAGTGTATTTTTTTTACAACTTTTGTAAATCCCGCTACTCAATACTTCCGATTCAAGCATTTCAGTGACACGGATAATATGTCATGTGATTAAAAATGTCTACTCCGTCGTCGTTGAACCAAAGGATTAACGATTTAGAAAGACGATTAAAGGTTGAAAACAAATCAAGAGACAATGACAGACAGAGACACTTAGCCCCAAATAATGAATTGGTATTTCCTAGGCCATTCAAGCTCGATTCAGGACATGCAAGTCCCCGCAAACCAAGAGCCTGTAAGTTTGTTTTTGTCGCTTGTCATCCTCCACAGTTGTTTTCAGTACCTTTGTGTCACTAGACTGTGTTGTTAGGTAACTTGTTTAAAAAATAATGTGAAATAATTAATAAATGTGAAATAAAATTTTTGTACATGATGTCTTATTAGAGGTAGAGGATAATGACAAATTCAGAATTGATATTCCAAATGTCAAATTGAATTTGGAAATATTTTGGACAATGAAAACTAATGGCCTGGTTCATTTTAATAAAACTATGGTTTAGATAAAATATGTTAAATCTTTTCTTGTTCTCTTGTAGGTATAAAAGATTTAAGAGCTTCTAGAATTCTGTCGATATGTCTTCACTTTTTTTTTTCTGTTTTCCCCTCTTTGGCCTCTATTTCAAAGAATTTTAAAAACAACTCCCTCATAAATTGTGACAGGCTTGATCACAGATGTAAAAAATAATATTTTCAGTATGATTGATTTTAATGAAACAAAATGTATAATTTCCAATTGCAGGAATGAAAGGGTTTTAAAATCCCCATTTCCTATTTAGTCATTCAGTGCAATGTTCACTGTGCTGGGATTTTTAAAATCAAATTTGAGTCAAACTTATACATTGAGTTCCATAAAAACAGTGAAAACTGTAATATAATTTGGTATGTTTCAAATTAGTTATTTAACCTAGCTGACCTATGTCCTTGGTCCAGAAAAACTCATTGCCACGTACCCTTCATACGATCATTCATGTGATGACTCTCTCACCATGGAATTATTTAATATAAGCATGCAGTTTTAAAGTGCATCTGTTTGAATTTGTCATCAACAACTTACAACTTAAAAGAGCATGAATAGAAAAAATGTCATGATTTCTGTTATATTCTTTCATTACACTAGGAGGTTAAATGGTTGTTTGTTTGTTTGTTTTATTGTTCAGTATATTGAAATTCATTACATATATTTTTTTAAACAGATAGATCTATTAAATGCATGATATTTTGTAATCTGTTTGTTTTGTTTTCATAATTATAAGTTCTAGTGCATTTTTTGGTTTAGATGAGGGTGGCCCACAATGTGTCTATCAAAGAGGCACCTCAGAGAGTCAAGGGCATGAAAGAGGGAGTGCCAACACCAATATGTGTATATATCTTCTGATACATTAATTACTATAATCATTTTAACACTCTAACTACCTGACTGTATATCATATACACTAATAATTGCTTATAACATTGCAGCTGCATCATGGCAAATAAATGTTTTAGAAAATACTCACCCTTTCACTCGTAGGGTTACTGTTTATGATTTATAAAAGTGATTACCGATTGTATGTAAGCATCTTGAGGTGCAAGGGTAATGTGCATAATTAATTTTGAAATATGGAGATATATATATTCTAAGAAAGACATTAGAAGCACTAACATTTACTTATGGTCATTGGTGTATTATGCTATGGCTGTCATACTTTTTTTAAATACTAAGTATATAAAAAAGATAAAAGAGTTATTTCCTATGTAGCTTGTAACATGAGCTTTGATTGGTTTCAAAGTTGGGTGTAAATATCCATGCACCCGACATGAGCTGGGTGTAAATAAAATGTGACGTCACAATGCATACATTCTCGATGATAAAAACCGAATAACATGACATCATGATGCATTGTAGTATTTAGTTATCTTATTGATAGATTGACACACTCTGATGTTTACAAAGAATTTTTATGGGTACATAGGAAATAAATTCATTATCTAGGTCCAATCAAGGGTATGGGGATTTACCCTGGGTTGTTTCCATGACTTACCCTTTATGCCTCAGGGTGTATTCATAATCTTTGATTACCTATGTTTTTAAATACTAGTAAAATAATGTAGATCCTCAAGTATTCAAATACCCGGGATAAAAGATAATGTCACATTTTAAAAAGTTCATATATTAAATTAAAGAAATACTCCAGAATAGAGTAATTTTTCTAAAGATTATTATTTGTATAAATATAATATTGTACTAGCAGAGACTTCTTAAAATTTTAGTTGGTTTTAAGTATTAGATCATCTATCTATCCATAAAAAATTAATATATAGACCTTTCCTCAAGTGTGTTTTATACTAGCTAGTGCAGAGTTCTACGTCTTCGCAAGCTAAGGGTTTTTCTATTTATGGGGAGTGAAGTGGACCGAAAACCCTTGGCCAGCAAAGATGAGAGTTTTATGACTGAAAAAAACCTACAATTTCATTCAATATATTTTTTTATCTACTTCAATCTCTATATAATAAGATATTCTACATATATCTGAAGATTACAATTTGTGTCATATACTTTTAAAAATTAAATTTGCATCTTTTTCTTGATAAACCAGTAGTAATTTGTAAAGAGAAATCACTGTTCAAATTTTACTTTGAAACAATTAAAGAAAGTGCAATATATTGGTCTAAAAATTACAACATACTTGTACTATTTTATTTTCTGTTTCAGTTGGGGGAGATTTTCCAGCAACATCAAGGTCAAGTTCAGCACCCTCTTCTGGCCGCCGCAGACCAGGGGGGATAAGCCTGGAGTCTGGTGGCAGGTCACGACAACCAGACAGGTGAGGAATAGTCTGACCAGTCTTCCTTTCTATCCCTAAAACAGTTTCTCTTAGATATATGAATTAAAATTAACTCCATAATTCTGCTAAATTTGCATTCTGCTTATCTTGACATTTGCACACAGAAGAATATAGAATTCAGATGAATTGAATGTATATATGGTCAGTCTCATTTCATGATAAAGATGCATTATGAGTTGTTGGTTGAATGTTTATTGCAGTGCTGAAATAGAACAGAAGTATAAAGAGATAATGAAGATGACTGGAATACTAACCCTAAATAATCAGGTAAGTGACAATTCTTGTTATACAAAATTCCAAGGCCCTAGGTCAAGATGAGCTGTTTCTTTATCATATTTTTTTATGATTGGTGAAATGTAATTTCCTGTTTTTATTGTAGAAACACAACACAGATATTAATGAGATGGAGTCCCTGGGTGAACTAGGGCATGGCACATGTGGACAGGTCATTAAAATGAGACACAAACCGACCAATCATCTCATGGCAGTTAAGGTATGGGTATAAACAGTCTTACTGAATTTGTCAGGGAAAAAATGTAATTGAAAATTTTATCATGATGACCTTATAGCTCTGTAGTTTTTCAGCAATATGCTTCAATGGTTAAATATAACCAATTTATGAACAGTTGGGACATTTAAATACTAGCAAGGAAAGATAATTTCTGCAAGCTTCCCTATCTTCAAGAGATTAAATTACATCATTTCCTAGTTTGCAAACTATCGATGGAAAGTTTTTAAATTGTGGGAACATGTAAAAGTGTTTAAAGTCCTTCTTTATTCTCTATCAATGAAAGAAAATATGTAAAATTTAATAATATTATTATTTTTTTTTTTTTGCACAGCAAATGAGAAGATCTGGAAATAAAGAAGAAAATAAGAGAATTATAATGGATCTAGATGTTGTTTTAAAATGCCATGATTATCCCTACATTGTACAGTGTATAGGAACATTCATCACACCTGTAAGTTTTTTCCCTATGTAAAATAACTGTAAATAAACAACAACAAAATGGTAATTGTCATTCAACAGAAATACAGAGCTAAAGAATTATGTGTCATATTTGCAAATAGCTGCAGAATTGTAGCTCGATGCTTGAAAAAATTCAGACAGATAATGCAGAGAGCTACAGATCCAAGCATTGTAAAAAAAAAAAAAAAAAGAATTAAAAGAAAAATAAAGCCACTTTTTTGTCACTTGCTGCGGGTATTACTGCTTTCCCTTGTTTTAAAAATAGTATAATCTAATAACAACAAAAAAATGGAGGCGTAAATTTGAAGATTTTTACAACATAAACATGATAAAGTTCTGTAGCTCTCTGTTTTATCTGTCCAAATTTTGCTAATTGCAAATTCATTCACAGACAGTGAGATTGTAACTTTTAATTCTGGCAAATATTGTACAAACAGAATATTGATTTGTTTTCAGAGTGAGGTGTGGATTTGCATGGAACTAATGTCTACCTGTCTCGATAAATTATTGAAAAGAACTAAAATGCCCATTCCAGAGAAGATTCTGGGAAAGATGGCGGTAGCTGTAAGTTTATCAGAAGTCAATTTTTCATGTTATTTATGTGGCTTAATATACTTTCTCTTCTTACATTTTGAATCTGGTGCTATTTGAAGAAGTACGGATCAGTCAATGTTTTTTCTATGAATGTAATTGATTTAGTCCCTAGCCAATCCAAAGTGTTCATTTGAAGAATGTCTGCATTATTGAAATTTAAGCACAGTACCCGGTATATGAAATTGATATTTTTTACAGATTGTGAAGGCACTTGACTATCTAAAGGAAAAACATGGGGTCATTCATAGAGGTATTATATGTACTTGTTCTTGATGTGCATGCAAGATTTTCCAGTATATGAATTATGTCTTTCTATTTAAAGTTTTAAAATCAAGGCAATCAATAGAAAGTGTATAAACTTGTATCTGTTCTCATTTTCCCATCAGACGTGAAACCCTCCAATATACTGCTGGATCAGAATGGGATAGTTAAGCTGTGTGACTTTGGCATCAGTGGACGGCTGGTCGACTCCAAGGCCAAGACCAGAAGTGCCGGCTGTGCTGCTTACATGGCAGTAAGTCAAAACATTTATAAAGTTCTGATGGTTATATGAAACATTAAAAAAAATAAGAAAAATTTGTAATCATATTTTGATAACTACCTTTTTGTTGTAAGGACTTGTGACAGGATATTTACCAAGTAATTGAGATCTATCATGTCTCTTTCTCTCTCTCTCAAAAAGAAAAGTAGTAAAAAACAAAACTTTTTTTATTTTGGTTCACAATTTTTTATTATCCAGTAATTTTAAAGAGATGAATTATATTTTTCCTCTTTTTAAAGCCTGAGAGAATAGATCCACCAGACCCCCAGCGACCAGATTACGATATCAGAGCTGACGTGTGGAGTCTGGGAATCACACTGGTAAATCACAGACTGTCAATCATAAAAAGTTTATCTGTCAAAGGACATTAACAACCCTATAACTTATTAAGGACAAGAATTTTACTGTGTTGAAAGCAGGCTTCAGTTCTAGTATAGGACTTTTGAATTTTTCTTTGCAGAGCATCTGTCATTTACTAGTATTTTACATAAATAAAATTATCAGATTTTAGCTCATCTCAACGAAGGATGTTGGGGAAATAAAGACATTTTCTTGATTAGTGATTTTGGAACAAGTCAACTCTCAATGAACTATAAAACCTACTTATAAACAGAACTTGCATGAATATGCATACTAACTAAAAAGAATATATAATGTGAGATTTGCATTACTTAAACTGATAACATTCGTCCAGGTGAGCTTTGTTGTCCTTGATTACCTATGTTTACAATTCTTGCAGGTTGAGCTGGCTACAGGGGAGTTCCCCTATAAGGACTGTAAGACAGATTTTGAGGTCCTCACCAAAGTTCTACAGGATGACCCGCCATTGTTGACTCCTGGTCCAGCATATTCCCATGAGTTGTGTTCATTTATTAGAGATTGGTAGGTCATTATAGGACATCTCAAGTACTGTAAAATCACATATTTTCATGGGGTCAAATTTTCATGGTTTGAGTAAAAACTCTTGGTTCTTGGGGATTTGAATTTGTGGATGAAGAATTGTTGTATAGTCATGTATTTAATATTTTACATTTCATGGTGGACATGAATTCGTTAGTCATTTCATACCTTGAAAACAACGAAAATTAACTAACCAACCCCAACCCCCAACCGCAACCCCCAAGAAAATTTGTGATTTCAAAGTATTAATATACATCACTCAGCATAATGAAAGATTTTTAGATTAATTGTCTTTTTTAGTTCACTCAGTATAATTATCTTGTTTTCTTTGCAGTCTAACAAAAGATTACAAAAAACGTCCAAAGTATAGGAAGCTTCTTGTAAGTGTATTTATATTACATGTAATGTGTATTTATTTATTCTTTACATTGATCTTCTTTTCAAATTTTCAATTGAAGCAAATCTTTAATATCAATTGCAAAACAATGTGAACATGTATACATATTTTCCTATAAACATACTTTTTAAATAAATCAGTCTATTTTGACTCTATTTTATTGTCAAAATGGATATAGGAGATAAATTGTAATTTTAGTTAATTTTTTTTTTTTTACAAACTTCCATGTCGCTTTACAATTTGTATGTTTGTACAGGAACACCCCTTCATTAAGAAATATGAAGTGGAGAATGTGAATGTGGCCAAGTGGTTCAGTGATATGTCAGAGATAATGGCCTGCTATAGTTCATGATGAGGTGAGAGGATAGTATTGTCAATTTGAGAGGGTTTACAAGGAGCAATTACTCTCTTCCATTGGCTCCTGTATATTTTTGTGATAAAAGCATGAAATAGTGCATTTACCTATTTGAATTCATCATAAGTACTGTAAAAGTAAAAAAAAATACATTCATAAAAGAATATTTAGAATGTACTAGTCAGTCTTAATTCTCTCTGTGCCAGGAGACTCACAAGGCCTGGACGTAGTGGTAGATGCTAATAAGAAATTAAAATTATTTGTACTTTTATATCAGTATATTTACAAGGAGATCTTTAATTTTCATTAGTCGTAAATTTTTCAATATTTTTCATTTTCAGTTCAACGAAGTAGTTATGATTTCATTTGACATTCACCTGATATGCTGGTCATGAAGGAGAATACCAAACCTTGAACATCAATGACCCGGTTTCTATTGATGTGGCATCATTTATCTCCATGACAACAAGCAGTGCAAAGTTCCTGATGGATTTTTATTCAAGATGATAAAGCCGTGTGTTTCGCTTCCGTTGCCATGGGTGATGTAAACAATCTTCACTGGGCATGTCACTGAGATATGTCCCGAATTTCCTCATCTACTTATGAATGAGATGAATTTTACCAAAATAATTTGTGTTTATACTGTGAGGTATCTTTGGTAGGTCTTTTGGGCCTTTCTAATCTCTATAGCTTGTATGAGTGCATTTTTCTGTGTTTCCCTTGCCATTGAATTGTTTTTGAATAATTTTGAGTTGACCACATCATGTTTTTGAAAAGTATTGTATATTGTAAGTGTGGCACAAGTACATAATACAGTGTTTGTGACTATAGAGTTTTCCTTCTGAATATTTGCTGAATTACTGGAATTCTGAAAACTTCAATGAATTTTAGTTTGCCAAAGAAAAAAAAACATGTTTAAAATTTCTTTAATTATCAATGTTTTATTAAATTTTATTCATTAATGATCAGGAGATTGACATTTAATCCATGTTAAAATAGTTTTCACCATACCAGTATATTTAGGTCATAAAAATTTTTAATATAAGTTTTTACTGGGATTTTACCAAAGTAATTGGAAGGGAAACGTAACTTTGACTGGTTTACAGCAGAATCATTCCATTTTCTGTCATATGGTCTGTTGTACATGTATTGACACACAGGATGTGATGTCATATGGTCTGTTGTAAATGACACGCAGGATGTGACATCATCTCTTTTTATAGCGGTTTACTGAATCTCATTTTTTTTTCCTCAAATAAAAAAAAGAAAAATTGAGTGCTTATTGTAATATTTATTATGTACAGTAATTCTTATTATTGCACTTTTGTTGCAGTGTGTTTATACTATCTAAGATAGTTGTAAATTTTTACTATTAAAATCGGACTTCTGTCACTTTTAACAATGTCGTTGCACACAAGGACTGCTCCCAGTTTTTTAAATATTTAATTATAGGAATGTCAAAATATTTTTACAAGGAAGTCATTTATTATAGGTTTTTTTAAAGGTACATACATGTCTACAGTTTAATAAGAAAACATTTGAACCAACATGTTATTCAATGCAATATGGGTAGATATTAAATTTGTTACATAATTAACTAAGTGTGAAAGGGACAAAAAATTAAGGATCTGTTGCATCTGTTGCTGTAGTAAATCAAAAGGAATCTAACTACAAACTGGGTATATAATTTCCCCCATCCAATTTGATCTTTTATCAATACTGCATGTGGAGGTAGAAAATTCTTTGTGGATGTTGATTAACTTTGCGAAAATAATCAAATAAGTTTTTGAATTCTATAATTCATGATGCAGGTGATTAATGGAATATTCATTGACACACCTATTTCGATACATTTTCTAGTCATGTGAAACTTAAAGATACATACAACAAAAAAATTTTCTTATCTTCCGTATAGAAGAGTTACATTAATGTGTTTTTTATGTTTCTGTCAATAAAAATCTCTAAAGGAAGTTTTTATTAACTGTGTAAAAATATACAGTACTCCTGAAAATATTCTTGAAACTTAACAGTAAAAGGTTTAAAACCCAATTAAGAAAGACTGGGGGAAAAAAACAATATTTTCAAGCATATTGTGATTTTTAGGTCAAGCAAATATTTTCTGAGTATATTTATTCTGTTTTAGCAAATGAATTGAGCAGAAAAGTCCTAAAATACATGTACATGTTCATATCAGAAAATAATGATTTTTTTATGTCCCTGCAAGTTTTTATTCAGTGGAATTTTACTGTGTGTCTATTTTAATGAATTATTTCATTTAACTATAATCTTACTCTGAATTTGGGATTTTTTAATCTATATCATGATCTTTAAAATAAATGAATTTTTAATATATGATCTTTTTGACAAAACCCCTGCTGCACTCTTGAATGCTTCACAAAGTCAATAATTTTTCCCAGTGTTGAGGTTTCCATCCTAAAAGCATTGCATGTTTTCTGCAAAGAAAACTTTTTATTTGTACCATTTCATAAGCAAAACACAAATGTAAAAAAAATCTTAGATGGGGATCCATCCCCAATGATATCTCACCCACATGTTAATTAGGATCGTTAATCTTATATTATGTACCACATGATGTTGATTGTGATGTACATGTATTTTTTGAGCAGTGACTATCTCTATGAGGGGGCAGTGTGATTGTGTTGTTATTGTGTTCAGATGCTGCCAACAGCTGAGAGAATAAAAATATAACAAACTGTATTTTGGGGAACTTTTCTTGTCTTTTATACATCTAGTGTCTGCAATAAAAAGAAGTAAGTGGTTTAAAAATCATGGTTTGATTTTCCAATGAAGTTTAGCTGAATGGTCTGTAAGTACAGTAAATAATGTTTATAGCAAAGACTGGCCTTTCATGTTACACAGTGGATTTGAACCTATGGCATAAAGATCAACTCTTATTTTCTGTTTTGAGAGCGAATGCTTTAAGCACTTCACCATACTAGTAACTGTGTCGCTTAGTCACATGGCATTAAGAATGTTCTATTTAGATTCGAACCAACAACATAATTTAGCAGCAACTCCTTACTCCGGTACTAGAAAGCAAACATTTTAGCCACTGTTTCGCATGGGGAACCTCTTTTTGTTAAGAGAATAGCTTTCAATTAGACAAGATCACCCGATACAGAAATATGAAATTCTGAATTGCATCCACAAGAAATTCACCGAAGATTATGCTTTATGAAATGGCATTGTGCATTGGAGATTGCAATAAAGGAAATTGGTAAGGTGTCATGACAATTTTTTGCAAAGCAGAAGATATATTATGTCTGGAATTTAAAAGGTTCTGCTTAATTTGAGCAAACCCTAAATACATAAATGTATACTACATGACTTCTTGACCATTTGACCTTGAAGTTTGATCTGCATTTCAAAAATTTTAACATTGGTCATAACTTTGAATTTGAGAAGAGATAGGGCTTTCATATTAAATATTTGTATTACCTGTGACAACACCTTTCTAAATTCACTATGATTTTTTACCACGTGACCTTGACCGTGAAGTTTGATCTACTTTTCAAAAACTGTAACCTTGGTCATAACTTTTGAATTGGAAGAGCTAAGGCTTTCATATTCCACATATATATTACCTGTGACAATTAAGACCTTTCTAAATACAATATTATTTTTGACCCATTGACCTTGAAGTTTGACCTACTTTTCCAAAACTGTTTCCTTGATCATGACTTTTGAATGAGAAAAGTTAGGGCTTTCATATTTCAAATGTTTATTATCTGTGAAAAGGCCTTTCTAAATAAAACATTTTTTACCTCCTGACCTTAATGTCAGTTAAAAATGTTTTAAATGTGTAAAGTAAATAATATCATTTTTAAACATTTATCAGAATATAAATATATAATCTATCATGGAATCTGATCAAGTGACTAACCCGTATTAATATCCCGATTAAAGAAAAACGATACCGTTTTAAAAATTAAATATGCGATTTTTTTTTCGGCATTAAAAAATCCGTCTTAAACCTTTACTTTGCGACACGAATTGATGTGTTTGGTTTTACAAGTAAACAACATGTGGTTTTAGATTTTTCTTAACAAGCAACATTAAATACTATATTGATTCGATGACACGAAACCAAACTGATAATGGTGTCCTGTTGACATGGTAAAGAAATAATTTTGCCTGTAAATAAATTATTTAAGTCTTCGTTATTCCAGAAGTCTCCAGATTTATTTCCGGATCGCTTCCTCCCTTCCAGATGGTCGAACCTGTTATTCCATTCGCTTATAAGAGGCTATTCCCGTCGCCCAACAAACACTCACGATGGTCAACAATGTCCATTTATCTTTGATGCGACGGCTGCTCGCATCTCAAGTGCTAGCACGCACATGTCGAATAATTTTATTAATTGCTCTTGAGCTTCAATTTAAAACCGTCTTAGAGACATATTTAGACATTTTTGGGAAAGGGAAATTGGACAATTTAATGAAATACTAGAAAGTCACATTTATTTTCAGTGGTATGACACGCAGGCATACGTAAATATGTAATTACTACGAGGGATATGAAATTGATAAATATATTCCCTGACATGCACTGGAGTGTGGTGGCAACAATTACTTTGGTCTCTAGTTTTTGTTTTTTTTTTCCATAGGGATATTTTGGAAGAAATCTTGAAAATATGGTTCCAAAGTTTAGCATGGTCAGTGTACGTCAAATTACATCCGTTATTTGCAAACATCTTCATGTCCATGTCATATCTACCTATCCAAATAGTTTTGTTTTTTCGCACCAGTTTGTTGAGAAGACCTTTAAAATTATCTAGTTTAAACTAATTTATTTAAAAAGCATTTTCATTTATTCGCCACTAGTATATCTATTAAAACCTGTAGAGATTATAATATTTCTTGCAAGAGAACCAAAATAAATTGTTATTAAGCGGTGACGGAACAAAATACGACGGACAAGACTGAAGGACCGGGGTCAAACCTGGGCCTTCTGAATCACTAGTCAGGTGCACGCAATGAGCTATTTGGCCACCGACTATCAAACCTCCCCGACCAACACCCCCCCCCCCCCCCCGGAGCATTGTACCCCATGTGTTTACTAAATGGGCATTTTTATTATCAGGTTAGCATTACAACCCATGTAACTCTTGTATTTTAGTTAAAGTTCTATATAAAAACAATTGTTTTAATGCCTTTATCCGTTCACGCTTGCAAGAAGACCTTTAATGTCTAGCAACATATCGAACAAACGGCCAATATATCGTTGTGCAGTCAACAGTTTCTGTAAACAATCTTTTAAATCAACCTCCCCCGATTTCAATTTCCTGATAATTAATTTGTGTTTTCACAAATACCTTGCAGATAATACATCATTGTTCATCATCGACACCGTTACTGGTTGTGGAAACAAGAAATAATGTGGGATTATCTTGCACAAACATGGAATATCATTCAATATTATCGACACACACTTATCATAAAAAGATTATCTGTGAAATATGATGTTCGATTTGAGTATTGCTCGAAGATGAAATTGGAGTTAATGGAGAAAACGATATTTAGTAGTTCACTGGGGTAGCAAATATATGGGGGAAAATTCTGCGCGTAACTCTTATGGCGTGCTTCATACCCCAGGGAACATAGTTTATGTCCAAAGTAACGTTCTGTGTATTCGTTCTTTATTGTTTACCTATCAGACTAAAAGCAATTTAAAATTTCTAGAGTAAAATATATGTCCTCTTACAAAAGAAACAATGGGTATATTTCTAAGTTTTTGAAAGTCAATCTTAAAGCTCTAGGACATGAAGTCAAAGTTCGTAGTACATTTGGAAAAAATATTGTCAATGAAAATAAACATATAACAATTATAAGATTAATCCTTAGATCCTTAGATACACCATCCATCCTAATTAGATCCTTATAGAACCAGTAGTAACCAGGAACAAGCAAATTCGAAGAATTGTGGTCCCCCGCTTTCGGTGTCTTTGTGGGTGAGATAAATTATTGTCCCCCGCTTTCGTGAAAGCGACTGGTCATTCAATCTCATTTGTCTGTCCGTCTGTCTGTCCGTCCGTCATAAAAACTTTAACCTTGCCCATAACTTTTGATTTAGTAGAGCTATGACTTTTATATTTCACATGTTTATTCCTTGTGACACCTTTCTTTAGGTACTACCAAATTTGACCTTTTGACCTTGACCTTGGAGTTTGACCCACTTTTACACCTCAAATTTGAACTTTTACTTTGGCTATAACTTTTGAATGGAAAATACTAGGACTTTCATACTTCAAATATGTATTCTTTGTAGCAAGACCTTTCATTAGAAACCAGCACTTTGACCTTTTGACCTAGCTGCAGATCTGTAGCTCTCCGAAAAAATATATTGATAGACCGGAGAGCTACAGTGCCACCCATTGAAAAAACTGTATATTTATTGCGCACAGAAAAGTGCGCTCGGTTCTTAATTAATTCTTCCAAATTCTTACCTCAATTGCAAATAAGGAAAGATTTCAAAAAATTCCTTTATCTTCTATCAAGTACTCTCGTAGTTGACATCCGAAGCATGCACGTTTTATGATAATTGCATATTGGACCGAATTATCTTTGAAACCAAAATGGCAGTATAAATAAGCGAAATGTTCGATGATTACAATATCAGGGTCAGGACTCAGGAGGACTATTAACAACAATTATGAGGAATTTTTGGTTGTGGAAAAAGCGAAAGAATATGTTAGGAACACACGGTTAGTAATATTTTGAGATTACATTTGAAAAACATGGAGAAATAAATCGAGAACCGAGCGCACTTTTTTGTGCGCAATAAATATACAGTTTTTTCAATGGGTGGCACTGTAGCACTCCGGTCTATCAATATCTTTTTTTCGGAGAGCTACAGATCTGCAGCTACTTTTGACCTTGACCTTGGAGATTTCCGTACTTGTGAAAAACTTTAGTATTCATGGCCATAACTTTTGAACGGTAAGGGCCAGGGCTTTCATACTTCACATCATAATCATTGTGAGAAGACCTTTTACTGGGCACCAAGTACTAGTACTTTGGTCCTTTGACCTTGGAGTTTGACCTACCTTTCAAAACTTATCCTTGGCCATAACATTTGAACAGATGGAGCTAGAGCTTTCATATTTCACAATCGTATTTCTTGTGAGAAGATCCTACTTTGGATACCAATATATTTAATTTGAATTGAAGAAAAGTTCAATTTTTGCAATGTTGAAATACAGTGTCGGCGTTTCACAAACACATCTTGTTCCTCATAACTTTTGATTGAGAAGGGCTATCATACTTGACATGTGCATTACCTGTGACAAGATATTCCCGAGTATGCTATGATTTCTGACCCTTGACCTTGACCTTCACGATATTGACCTTATTTTTTAAAATTTAATTTCGGTGATAATTTCTAAATGACATATTTGACACAATTTATGTAATAAAAAACGACATCTTACCCACAAAGACTCCGAAAGCGGGGGACCATAATTCTTTAAATTTGCTTGTTTATGTCATATTGTTTCAAGTATGATTGACCTTTCGTACGTCATTCAAAAGGAATCACCATAGTTGATTTTTTTAAAATTAAGTCAGAAATGAGGGTCAAGGTCAAGGAATTAGAAATCATAGTATGCTCGGAAATGTATATTTAGAAAGGTCATGTCACAGGTATTATACATGTATGTAAAATGTGAAATCTTTATCTTTTCTCCGGCATTTAAAATT